AGAGTGAAAGTGAAAAGGACTCACTGCTGTCGGAATATCGACAGACTATCGAAGAGAAAGATCGGTTGATCAAAATAAAAACTGAGGAGCTGGAAAACAAATCCAAAAAGTTGTTAGAGCAACAGAATGCAGCTCTGGAGGGCTTGAAGGCTGAGAATGTTAATCGTATCCGTGAACTTTCGGAATCTTTTGAGCAACAATTGCAAGCGAAGGACACAAAAATCGAGGAGGTTTCGCAGCAACTCGGTCAAAAAGTATCTGAGACCGATAGATTATTGGCAGAATTGGCCGCTGAGCGAGAGCTCTGCAGAAAAAAGGATGAAGAATTGATTAGTGTTCTACAAAAATTAGAAGGTTCGTGCCATAAATATGAAAATAAAAAAAATTAAATTTTACATATATTTGAATAATTAAAAAATTTAATCTTTTGGTTGTTTTGCTTGTTTACGAGTATCGATCGGTATTCAATAAAAATAACTTTAGATGAAATATTTTTTATATAAGAATCTAGTATATAATTTATTATGTACATTATTTTATGTTTTCATAAAAATATGTTATAATAAAGTATGTAACATTGGAAAATAAATTACGATTTAAGGTTTCATTGATTTTATTGCATATATTTTGCAGAGTTAAATACAAGACTTAAATTGGCTGAAGACAACAATAGCGTGTTGTCAAAACAAATTCAGGACTATAGGTCTAAAAGTGACGACAATGTCAGGATTATTCATGAAAAGCAAAAACTGGTAAGAGTATTCTTTTTTCTATTTCGCACGAATATTTCGCAATGTTATTTTCACACTACGTGATCAATCCAGGAGCAAGATTTAGCTAGTTTAATCGCTTCGGAGGAGGAATCTACTGTACGATTAAACAAATTGAACGAGGTATTGAAAGTAAAGGACAAAGAACTTGCGGAATTGCGAAATGCTACTGTGGCTCAAATAGAAGAAATAACTAAACGGTTCGAGGCCCAAATTAATGACCAAGTCAAATACATTGACGAGATAAATGCAGATGTTACGCAAAAAGCCTTGATGCTCGTTAAACTGGAGAAAGATATCGCCGATTTAAAAGCAATTATAGCAAGTAAAGATGAGGAGATTAAAAATCTTCTCGAGAAGACTTCAGGTAAGATAAAATGTGAAAGGTAGATTTGAAATTTGCTTAGTTCTCGATTTAAGTTTGAAAAATTAATTACATATGTGTTAACATAAACATAACATGGCTTGTTTTAATTTTTTAGAATTGCAAGACGCTCTCATATTATCTGAGCAAACAAAAACGAATTTGGAAAGCGAACTTCGCGTATTTGAATCAAATGTGCAGAAATTAAATGGACAAGTTGCGAGGGCAGAAGAAAAAATATCGCAACTCTCGTTACAGAAGGAAAAACTGGTTAGTATAGAATAAATAGTTAATAATCCATTGGATTATAATGATTTTAATGATATGGATGATTATAATGATTGGATTATAATGATTTAAACTTAATTATAGGAATCCGATATAGCGAACGCGATTAGTACTTCTGCCGATTCATCAGAACAACTGTCGAGATACAACGATGACTTACGAAAGAAAGAAAAGGAATTGGATGAAGCTCGCGAGAAAATATTTCAAACGGAAATTGCATTGAAACAAACAGAGGGAAAACTCTCTAATACTGAGACGGAATTAAACAAGAATACAACGTTAGTCGAGCAACTACGTTTAGAGAAATCAAACTTGGAATCACAGATAGACAAGACTGAAAAATCAAATGCAGATTATGTCGGAAAGATACGCGGATATGAACAAGAAAAGAGTGAATTATCGTTAAAGATAGAAGAAGGTGAATGCGCAAAGAAAAATTTGAAGGAAAAGTCTGACCAAGTCACCAACCTTACGGAGCAATTGACAAAGAAGGATGAAGAAATCGTTAATCTTCGTGAAGAATGCGAAACCCAGCGAAATTTTTGCCAAGAAGAAACATCCTTGTTGCAGAAAAAAATTACGGATTTGTCGTCCGAATTGTCGATTTCGCGTGATGAAATTAAAGATTTACAAAAATGTAAGAGCAAACTAGAAGCCGATCAAAGTGCGAATCGTTGGTCAATCGAAGAATTGACAGAGAAATTGAAATCCGAATCGGACGGAACCTCAAAATTAGAGAATTTACTTCAGGAGAAAGATTTGAAGCTTCAAGAAACGGAAAATAAATTGTCGGAATTACGGAAAATGTATGATACCTTAGTTAATGATAAAGCAACTACCGATAAAAATTTAACAACGTCTTTAAGTACAATGACAAGTACGATAGAAGAGTTTAAAAACAAATTGAAGGACGCCGAAGGAACGATTAAGAACAAAATGGATGAAATATCAAAAACGAGAGCGGAAGCGGAAAAATCGCAAGTTCAAATAGCCGAATTGAATACTACAATCTCTTCCATGAAAGAAGAAAATATTCGTAATAGCAATGAACTGAAGAACGCACAAGAGGTGATCACACAGAACCAAAGTAAAATAAATGATTTATCCGAGATCAAGACTGTTTTGGAGAACTCAACGAAGTCACTGGAGACTCAGTTATCGAATTTGCACGAAGAGTTAGATAAAAAAGAGAAACTGCGAATAGAAGCAGAAGTTAAGATAAAGAAATCAGAATCTTCCAAGGAGGAAGAAATGTTGAAACTGCGGAATTTGTTAGAGTCCGAAATTGTAGCTGAGCAGAAGAAGATTGAAGACATAAATAAACAAAGTAAAGAGTTAGAGGACAAGTTGCGATTAATGCAAGATGTTGTCGATAAGCACAAAACCAATTTAGATGATAAAGAAACTATTATATATAAATTGAAAGCGCAGGTGAAGGTTCTAGAAGATGCTCAAGTGGAAAGAGTCAAGGCGGAACAACAATCACGAAACGAGGAGATCAAGTTGAAGCAGAATGAGTTAAGCGGCGCGAATAAGCGAATCTATGAGCTACAGCACACAGTGAACACACTTGAGAAACAGTTAAGAGAACAGGAAACGAAGTCAGCAGATCTGGCGAAAATTATGGAGAACAAAGAAAAAGAGGTGAACAAGAACGTGCAAAACTTACAAGAGAAGCTGAATGTTGCCAAAGTGGAAGAGAAGCGACTTCTGGATGAGCTGAATCGGTTAGAGAAAGAGAATAAGCAAGTCAGTGCGAAATGGATGGAGGCGACGAATCAGTTGAAGTTGTCGCATGAAAACCTAAAGAACACGTATGATGGGACAGGCGACACGAAACAGCACATTGTCGCAAGGGATATCGATGTTGCGAAACTGCAAGAAGAGAACGACACCGCAAAGAGTCAAATAGACTTTTTAAATTCCATAATAGTCGACATGCAACGTAAGAACGACAATTTGCTGTGTAAGATCGAGGTTCTCGAGATGGGCGTCCCCGCGAACGAGGCCGAGGACTACACACGAAGCACGCTGGACAAACGAACGGCGGCGCCCCGTATGTTCTGTGATATTTGCGATCAGTTCGATCTGCACGAGACGGAAGACTGTCCTCGACAAGCCCAGGATTTCACGGAGACCGCCGAAAAAACGGTAAAAACTTCGAAAAAGCAATCCGTGGAAAGGCCATACTGTGAAAACTGCGAGATGTTCGGACACGACACGCGCGACTGTGACGACGCCGAAACATTTTAATGTTACGTCCATAGCCTTGTTTCATTTGCTTGCCAAGTGTCCCGTAGCTGTAAAAAGATCTGTTAGATTTTACAGAGTATATTTTTGTATGCCAGAGATTTTTTAATTGGATTTTAAATCCGAGCATAAGTCTTCCCGCGTAAAACGGGCATATCCAAAAAACATAAAGATTTATGTTCCCTCCAAATTGCGGTTTAATCAGACCTTCCACTGTAAAAGTTTTGCCAATGTATAATTATTCTTAGATAATTTTCTTCTAGTTAACTACAGTAGATTTATTAACTTATCTTTAGCATAATTTATCGCCACAAAATATTAATATTAACACAAATTTAATTTATAATCAATTTTTAAATTAAGTCAATCAATTTTAAAATTATAATAAATTTTTTAATTAATTGAATTACATGAGATATTATTTTTTACTCAAGTTGAAATTTGAAAAATGAAATAATATATCGACTTTGAAATAAAGATAATTTATTGTTACTTTTGTCTATATACATATTTGAAGGGAACATACATTCGTTTTCCAGCTTTAATATCTAATTTTATAATATTTGTGGCAAATATGTAATTTTGTATATAATAGATACTCAAATTAAATAATTATTTTTATTTAATATTTATTTTACACGTTTATGCGCTTTAAAAAACAGTTCCTGTAGTGCACGCCAGTAAAAAGCGGAATATTGGACGTGAAGTTCTTCGGTAATCAATTGACGCACATCTCTCTTCGAACATGATATTATCATAATACTCTCCAGTCAGAGAGTTTTTATTATAGTCTTCGTCAAATAGCTAAAGAAAGAAGAAAAAGATTGAAATACTTATATAATATATCTTGAACACATTTGAAGCTAATTTACGAAAATATCGTGGCCTGCAGTTATCTTGCCTTCCGTTATCTTAGGGTTGAAATATATTTTCTAAGTCGATTATATTGTTATAACATGTGATGCATTCGAGATAATGCTTTGTAGATAAGAATAAACAAAATTTACGCGATATGACTACAAATCTATAAATTCTTTATCTCGTCGAATAAATCCTTTTGTCATTATTAATATAAGTATAAATCTTAAGGTACAATATATTTTAACAGAAACGTGTGTGTGCGTGCGTGCGTGTATGTGTGAGACTTAAATTTTACTTTCATTAAATTTTTGTTATGTTAAATATTTTATGTAGATATATAATTAATATATCTTTGTATTGATTATATATCTATAGATTTGTTTATTTTGTAACACAAAATTCACAGATACACATATTTAAAAAAAATTAATTTTTTATAATTAAATAATATAATTACTTCTTTAAATTTAGTTTGGAAATATTAGATCAGTATCTTTTAAATTATCAGCGATCCACTTATTAAATTTTTCCTCTATTTCTGGCGTGAATAGTTCTTTCCAATTATTTACTTTTCCTTTTCGAATAAATTCTTTGGGTTCCATCGTCGATCTAGGACTCGGCTGATTTACCATGGAATTTTTCCGGAAGTTCTCTATCTTCAAATGCTCTACTAACTTAGCGATTTGCTCATCGCTATAAGACTTATTGAAAAATACGGTGACCCTCTTGATGGTTCCAGGTAAATCCTACGAAACATAAATGGAAATGTTATCTGTAGAAATTATATATCTTGAAATTTGATATTTTTTAATATATAGTTTAAATCTTTTACGATCCTTATGTGAAAAATAGTGGAAATGTTTTAGAATGTTATACAATACTAGAATTTTTCTCGATTTACTTTTATCAAATCTTCATAGAAGAGGAACAATAAGTTTGCTTTGTGCCTCATTGCCCAAGCTTCCTTTACATGTTCCCAATATGGACTATAATTCACTGAAATAATGAGAAATAATAAGCAAAAATTGAAATTATTATGAACATACGATCGAGACCTTGCACAACTTACCGTGATCGTTTATGAAATTATTACAGAATTGTTCGAAAGTTCCTTGGTACTGGAAAATTTTGCAATCTTTTTGAAAATTATACCATGAGATTACTACATCTTTTGGATTTCGAGCGACATAGATGATCTATAAATAAATAATATTTTTAAAAAATGTATAGATCTTTCGTTATTTATATATATCTATACATATATATATATGTACATATAAAAAAGTTTTATTGTCAAATATACCATTTCAAATATAATAGATTGAATATAGCAACATACACAGTGAATGTTCGATGTTGTAAAAATGTAAACGCATTATATATAGTTTTTCTTTAATGAATTTTAGTAAAAATTTTGAACGAAATATTTATTTTGATTTGATATATCTTTTCCATTTTTATACATGCAATTTTAAAAATAATTATAAATACCTTGCAATCGCTGTTTATGACTGTCGGCAATAGATCGAGAGGCATGTGACTTTTAATAAAACGCGGCGATAATTGATTTTGCACAAATTCGACAGTATATTTATATAAATTTTTTTTTTCATTATTAGAAATGATGGTCGAAATTGTATGACTATCCATCATTGTTTCTATGCTAAAACAAAACAAAATATGTTTATATAGTAGAGTGAATCTGAAATAGAAAATAACAATATACGTATTTCGTGATTTTTTAATTTTATGTAAAAATAGTATAAAATAAACATTCAACTTTTTTATACATTTTTTTTATATTTTTCAAATCTGATGAGTATGTATTTACAATCAAAATTGTATTCCAGATTTGCATGGCAAATTGAAAGTTTTAAACGTAAATATTGCGTTTTTACGCAAAAATTTTATTGACAATGAGTCAAGCGAAATTTTTTTGCTTAATTTATGAATCTAGACAATGCAAGTTTTCTTTCTATATATACATATATATATATAATCTTATATAAAATTATTCCTTTCTATAATCTTTATATAAAATATACTCTATATAGGGAAATCTGTCTATTAAAGTCCTTCGTTGCGCTTCGTCAAAATTCATGTCGTTCGCCACCAACCATACGAGTTCCTGCGTCAAAGTTGTACCTAATCAATACAATATATAAATTTTATTAATATAATATTTTGTTTTTACTTGGTGATATGAATATTTTAACTGTATGAATTCCGAAATTATAATGTTTTCCATAATTTCTATATATAGTTTAAGGTCCATATTTGAGGCCATGTTTAACGGTTTTTTTTTAGTTTTACAATTTTATGAGATTTGTTTTTTATTAGTGCACTAAAATTGTTCTCTCTTTTGCGAAATATCAAACTTATACTTAATTCGTTTTCAGTGCAAAGAGTGCAGACAGAAAAAAATATATGATATATCACTTTATTATCCATATTATAAGTGAATGTTTTTTTTATCATATTGATTGCATATCATCTACATGTTCATATCATATGTAAACACGAACTTTTCGCCCACGTATACTGAAAGGATGCAGCGAAATCTTTTTTCATAACTTTCCATCCAGCTATGATAATACATATCATAGTGCGCGGAGAACGTCATACGTGCATCGAGACGGCAGACGTCCAGTGTTTGAGGAGCGCATCATATTCGCTTTTATTATATCATTTACTTTACCTGCCTGAGGTGGTCAGTGCATTGCACTTACATTTCATTACCCTAAATTTATGCAGACCTCAGTGACCAAATTTTCAGCCTGTCGGCTGCATGGCCAATTAAAGAAGAAGAAGAAAAAGACTTTTAATATTTCGAGAAATATTTGGCTTTAAGTATATATATATTCTTAAAATGTACGTATTTTTATTATTTTGAAAGTAATACTTATAGAGACTTTCATGGATATTTTCTTCAAAGTCAAAGAATTTACGGTTATCATGTTGTGTTCAATCCTTAAAAAAAATTGTTATTAAATTACAATAAATTAATTAATCAATATAACTCATGAACGGCAAGATTCATGAAATACTGGCATTAGTAAAGTGGATAAAAACACAACGATAACCCACAAAACTTTTGATATCTTTGAAGATAATGTCCGTGAAAGTCTTAAAAGCAAATATTTTATACGTATTTTATATAAAATTTTATTCGGAATATCATTAAAATATAGACCACATATTTCTTTATGTAATATTTATTATATAAGATAAAATTGAATAAATATTTCTAATAAGTATATTTTACTTAGATTATTATGGCTTATTAAGTATTTTCATAGCATTTACTGTAACATTTATAATAAATATTTCATATAATATTTATAATACATTTTATAAATAATAATATTAAATATAAATCTCATAGGACCGTACATGTCAGAACACAACTAATAAGACATAGAAGTTAAAATTAAAAAAAGAGACTAAAATTAATATTGCAAAAAATGAAACTTTTTTTTAAATAAATAAAATTTAATAATATATTATCAAAAATGACATGATGTTTTTGTATTTTGTTAATGCGAAGATAATTTACCTGATCGAGGATAAGTAATGATCCATGTATCATCTGGACGAATTTCGAAACTATAAATTTTGTCACCGTTCTCAACGTATTTATCAGACAAAAACCACTTCTTCTCACCGATCTTTACTAAATCGAATTTGTCAGTTGGATACAATTTCGATAAAGTAATTGCCAATTGATCTTCTATACGCTCCACTTTCAAATTTTTAAAAGACATATTATATATTTATAAAGTAATATATGATTTTCTGAATACTGTGTGCTGAAATGTTTATACACCCTATTGCAGTTCTTGATTAATGAAAGTGAAGCGCTTTCCACAGTAAATATATAGTATATACCCGTTTATCATATTTATACGTTCTATCTATGACATGCACAATCACATAATTCATAATTATGAAACAGCAGATAAGAGAGGAATAAAAATGGACGAGATTAAAGAAACAAAAATCAATATCTAATAAATTCTAAGTAATCGACTACAAAGATAATTTTTTCAATTAATTAATTGAATCTAGCTCGAAACCACAAATAATAATGTATTTATTTATAATATATTTAAAATATATTTTTATTAGGTTAAAGAACAAATAAAGTCTTTAGTAGAAACTTTGTTTATTTATAACGTAAATAAAAATAAAATTTATAAATTATAAATATATCTGCTTATATCGTGGAACAAATCTAACTTGGAAAAGCTAAATCCGTATCCCTTAAATTGTCAGTGATCCATTTATTAAATTTCTCTTCAATCTCTGGCGTAAACATTTGTTTCCAACCACCCGTTGTTCCTTGGCGTATAAACGCATTCGATTTTATTACAATGTCGGAAATCGGTTGATTTACCATAGGATTTTTGCGGAAATTCTCTATGTTTAAGTGTTCCACTAACTTGGTGATCTGTTCGTTGCTGTAAGTCTTATCGAAGAACGTAATGACTTTCTTAATATTGCTAGGTAAGTCCTGTACAAAATAGGTAAAATTAATTATAGAATCATAATATCTTCAATATCAACATGTTACATTTTCATTACTGAATATATGATAAAAATGATTAATTTTTATATAAAAAAATTTATATTATGTTAGAATCTCTATATTATTAATTATTTAAAATAATTTAAATTAAATGAGTGAATTGTACTTTTATGGATAAGTAAATCTTGATGTGGACAATAGTAAGAATAAACATTTTACACGTTACAATATTATTGTACAAAAATTAGCTAATTTATGTTATTACTCATATTTAGATTATATTGTTTCAAAATATCTTCATGAATGAGATAATAATTAATTACATTTGTTTAAAAAGTAAAAAACAAACTGTAATCATATTATTATTAATAACTCAAAATCTTAAAAACAACAAAAGATGAAAGTACTTACTTCCTTTTCGGAAACCATATTGACATATTTTATTTTTAAAAAAACTTTTTATTTTTTATGCCAAACTGTACGAAAAAGAAAAAATATTTCTATCTCACCTTTATCAAATCTTCGTAAAAAAAAAACATCATATTCTCTCTGTGTCTCATCATCCAAGCTTCTTTTACATGTTCCCAATATGGACTCCATATTGCTAAAATTGCAAAAAAAATGGATTCACGAAATATTCTAACTAAAAACAAGTGAATTAGATTGTAAAAGTTAATATTTTTTTAGCTTACTATGATTATTCATGAAATTATCACAGAATTGTTCGAATGTTCCCGGATAGCTATAACGAGGCATCTCTTTATGGAAATGATACCACGAGACTACTACGTCTCTCGGATTTCTTGCGACATATATAATCTGAGAACAAGAATAACATTTCTTAAAAGTGTTAAGTAAGTTTTGTCTTGTATCCTTTTGATATTTTGTAAATTAAAATAAAGAGTTTCCAAATATCATTTTTAATCGTAAGAATTCTAGTATAAGTAAGTGACAAATTTCTCGACGACTTTGCGAAATAAAAATCTGAGAAATGTACACTGCCGGAAATTGAAATCCCAACACCATGAAGGTGTTGTGCTAGACATGAAAATTATACAGAATGTTTGTTTACATGAGTTATTATATTGATATCTATTATACACACACACGCACGCACGCACAATTCGCAGGATACGAGTTTATAGCATTACGACGAATGCGAGATAAAATTTTCCATTAGACACGTGTGGAGCTATTCATAAGCGTTAGTATTATATCACTGTGAAATTGTGTGATAACGTGTGACAAAATTATACAGAATGCCTCGAAGGCGACAATGAACTGTATATCGATAATTAACCCATTTTGAACGAGGCCATTTTTTGAATAAGCCTTCTGGAGGATGGATTATCATTTCGTGATATTGCGGCAAGAATGGATCGAGATGTCTTTACAGTTGTTGGCAATAATGGTTTCGAGAAGGCACTGCTACCAGGAGACCGGAATCCGGAGCCTTCGATTCATCTAGATAACTTCTTCTTGGTGTTGGGATTTTAATTTCCGGCAGTGTATTTTCTTTATAATTTTGTCTTTATAACTTTCTTTCTCAGTGTCATATTTTTTATTTTTATAAATATAACATCTATATAAATATGTATTTAACTTAAGATATTTGATTGCAAACATACTTTACAAGTGCTGTTTACGACTGTTGGCAACAGATTAAACGGCAAGTGGCTTGTAATGAAACGCGGTGAAGGCTGATTTTGCACAAAATCGAGGCTATTTTTGTCCGTGTTTATCCTACCAGGAACATCTTTCGTTACCAAATGATCGTCATAAATTGCTCCTGATCTAAAATAAATGTTTCCTTGTATAGTAAAATGTCTTTTAATTCAAAAGATAACAATTTCATTCTAATTATTACTTTATATAGAAAATAAAAAGATAATTTTCTATGATTTCAATTCAAAATGAAATATGATTCAATACAATTTTTTTATGCATTTTAGATAGTAGTATACACGACAAAAATCGAAATTAAAATTTAATTAATTTTATTAACATTTGCACCAAAAATTCATTCCCCAAAAAGGGAAATGTGTTGTTGCACAGAGATAGAAAATGTGAATTTATTTTTATTTTTGTATAAATACACACACGCGCGCGCGCGCGCGCGTGGCTACATGTGTATAATTTAAAAATAATACTGTACTCTATAAACGGAACTCTTTCTAGTAAATATTTTCGACGTGCTTCGTCAAAATTCATGTTGTTCGCCACAAGCCATACGAGTTCCCGAGTTATCGTTGTACCTATTCGATACAATACGTCTTAATTAATACTTCTAATAACCACACGAAATTATAAAATTTTTTATTCACGCTTAACTGGCTCATTTTTAACAACTTTATTGTTTATACATATTTCTTTTAATTTTTATATTTTGTTAACATATATATGCTGTGTATTTCTACATTTAACTTTCAGCTGCATAACGCTTTTTCATACATTAAAATGTTTTTTAGTTTACTCAATTTTTAAAATTATGCTCTATCATTAAAACAATTTTATTTTTTAACAATATAGGATAAAAATTATCAAAGCACTCGTAATTATTTGAAATAAAAACACTGAATTTATTGTTAAATAAAGTATCAATTTTATTATCATAGTTTTATTTTAATATTTTCTTTTGAAAATAAAAACAATTCCAACTATGTTTCAGAATTAATTATAATATTTTTGATATCGTATTATGTGGAAGATGTAGTTTCACACGTGTTTCGATCAAAAGATAAAATTTAATTTTGCGCACGATTTCTTACACCATTAAGCAATTATTATAATAAATATTACAATTTTCAAAACTATATATATATATATATATATATAATATTCTAATTTTAGATAATATAAAAAAGATTAATTATTTTGATTCTTATTTGTTTTTTTATTTTTAGCTTTATGATTTTTACGTTTTGTTTGTTGTGACGTACATATCTATATTGTTGCACATTTTCATAAAGTTGTACATATGTTGTTTTTAATAAAAAAAAACAATTTTTGACTTGTATTTCAACTTCGATAATGGAATATATTATTTACAATATTTTTATTATGTAATCTATAAAATTGTTCTTTTAAATCCTTAAAAAATTTGTTCTATTGAACTCATTATCTCATCAGTAATTCATATGGTATTTCATCAGTTACCTACTGATTAGTTAATCGGTTCATTGGAATACTTTTTAACCATATTTACTTCCGAATGTATATAGAAATTAAAAAATTTTATTTGTATTTGAGAAATATGTCATACTTTTTAATCCATTTTCGAAAATTAGGGAAGTAAAAAGAGTAATAATAAAACATATAGTTGAATCTGAACAGTGAAAATAATTTACCTGATCTAGGGTGGGTAATGATCCATGTATCATCCGGACGAATTTTAAAATTATATAAACTGTCGCTGTTTTCGATATATTTGTACGGCAGGAGACATTTCTTTTCACCGATTTTAATGAAATTGCGTTTGTGAAATGGATACCATTTTGATAATGCGACCGCCAGCTCACCCTCAATGTGTTCTACTTTCAGATCCTTAAAAGACATTTTGTTAACAGCTTCTTGCCCACAATGTCAACTATAACGATTGATATCTTACTCGGCCGAATTTGATCGATAATACTGCAGTTTTGGTGATCCTACTGAAAAATTAAAACTTTCACGAATAGAAGTATATAAGGAGTTCCAGGATTTGCGGGAGCATATTCTACACGTGAAAATAGGAGAAAAATATTATATGTGTGTGAAGTTTGGCTAGAAATACCTACTGAATATAATCTTATTCATGCGCAGGTTGAAATGATACTAAATCATTTAAAAATATTAAATATGATTTGAATAAATAATACGGAATAAACATGTTCGACCTTTCATTTTTTGCACAAAAAATCCGTTGCTTCTTAGTTCATGTTTTCAATATTTGTTCATAAATTTGCAAGAAAGCACTTCTAGCCAACATTATTTATAATAATATTTATACATTTACAACATATTTATAACATATTTATTATAAACATTATTTATTATAACATTTTTATCTTATTTCCATTTGTAAAATATGCTGCTGCAGTTTATTTGTTAAATCCTATATAGATTAAAGAAATATTGCTTATAAATGTATCAATATATATAAAAGTAGCATTAGTATATATCTAATATTATCATATGCATATATATTTATTAAGTTTTAATTCTTATTACAAAAAATATTATTGCGTAATATATTATTAATATTATTATAAAAGATTGCTTCTCTAAAATTCTTTGCATCATTGCACGATAATGGAGCAAGGATACTGACTGTATATCTTCTAAATAAAAATAACAATGTTATAGTCACTAACAGAGTTGGCAACGTAAATTTATAAAAATAACACGCTATCGTTACTATTACTTTTCGTAAAAGGTAAATCATGTTGCTACAGAAATATATATTAAATGCAGATTCAAAGTTAGCGCAAATCCCACATTGTCACGTGGGTCGCGTTTAGTTTGCTATCTTAAGAGCCAGAGATAGGCGGCGCTGAAATCCTCTTGTTCTCCAGGGGTCCGAGGGGCGGGCAAGGGCTGCGCCGCTGCGTTCGATGAATTTGGTTAGGAGGGAGGATGACGGAGAAGTGTAGATCGATGTTGGATCACGGCCAGCCAAGATGGCGAACTGCCGTGGAGGCTGAAGAGACCTTGCTCGTTCTAAGTGTTTCATCGTACGAGGTGTTCGCGCATTCTCGTATGATTTCAGCGCGTTCGTGAAGTGGCGTAGTATGTCCTCGTACACGTTCTCGCAGAGGCTGTTCACGCCAACGCCGCCGGAACGCGGCAGCTTCCCGCTGGACCATGAAGGCCGTTGCAAGAGCACCATGATCAGGTACATGCGCTGCCTAAACGAAAACCGCAGTCAGAACACGATGTGTCGCGACATCGCCAAGGAGTATCTCGGCTGCCGCATGGACCACGACCTGATGGCGCGCGAGGATTGGTCCAAGCTCGGCTTCACTGATGAGATCAAGGGTGCCAAGGAGACGTAACGTCGATATCGTCTACGAGTTAGTCGATACCCCCTGTCTCTCCCAGATAAGAGGGATCGTATCCTTGTCGTCGTCGTTATCATTGTCGTCTTGAGTCTCTTCGAGAGTGCCTGGTATACTTTGTCTAATCGGTGCTCTTGAAACTGTCGATGTAAATAAGATGCCGTAACTATGATTCGGTGATTCAGTGTGTTCAAGCGATTATACGCACTGCCAGCCAAGTGTAACAAGGACTTCCTCTCAGTGTTGAGAAAAAATAACAATAAGAACAATAGGTTATATAAAAAAAGACCAAGAGAGAAGGAGAGAGAGAGACAGAGAAATTAAATAATATTAAAATCTCGCGTATCTATCTTTTATTTTCATAAGAAAGAAAATTGTAAATTCCGTTACATCATCCGATACTCATTGGATCGGGTTTCTTGAGCTTTAATGTAGAGGCATTCTTGTAGCTTGTTATGCGGCTGGATTGTGTTACAACTCAAGTGGCCTAAGAGAATAAATATCCCTTAAATAGAGAGTTCTGAGATATTTATTACGTTGAAAACTGAATCTATCAGGCTTCGAATAGACTTACATAGAACAGAAGGTAACTCAAAGGTAAAGAAAATGGCAAGTTCCTCCAGGAAAAGAGTATTGATAGGTTGCACTGGTAGTGTAGCCACGATCAAGCTGCCCCAACTAGTGGAAATGCTGCGACAGAATAATCTGGAGGTAAGGGTGGTTGTGACGGAGAGAGCCAAACACTTCCTGAAGGATGCTCAGCTGCCATCCGACATCCAAATCTTATCTGACACAGTGGAGTGGGCTGCCTGGCAGGATCGTGGTGATCCAGTGCTGCACATAGACCTGGTGAAATGGGCGGATATATTCGTGATAGCACCGTTGGATGCTAACACCCTGGGCAAGATTGCAAGTGGCATATGCGATAACATTGTTACGTGTGTGGCACGTGCATGGGATCCTTCAAAGCCACTTCTTTTCTGCCCAGCTATGAACACCAGAATGTGGGAGCATCCAATTACAATGCCTCAAGTAAGATGGAATAGTATTTAAAATTAAGTTAAGAGAAAGCAGTGTCAAAAATATTCTTTAAAACAGCTAACTAGATAAAATACACGATTCTTTCTATATTAATTTTTAATATAAATGGGACAGTAATCGCATATGTATATTACATAAGTAATATAAATTTAATTAAAGTATATTACATAAATAATTTAAATTTAATTAAGTTTAATTTTTACAGATTATATAAAATTTATTGAAAATCAACAATTTTATACGAATGAAAGTATTAAAAAGAGAGTGATCTTAGTAAAAAGATGTAAAGAACAAGGGCTAAACTATGTAATTAAACTACATAATTTTAACCAAATGACAATTTTTATTTACAAACAATTGTATATTTTAACGAATTTTTTGGCTCGTAGCCCTTTTTCTTTTTCATTAGTTTTAAATTTATTGAGCCTTATTACAAATAAATTATAATTAAATTTATTTTTTCTTCTATGTAGGTTTTTTTAAAATGAAAACAGCAATATATATAGATTTTTATGTTTTTTTAGGTATCACTGCTTAAGTCCTGGGGCTATAAAGAAGTGCACTGCGTATCCAAGACATTGATGTGTGGTGATGTGGGCATGGGTGCTATGGCCGAGGTAGACTCAATCGTACGGTCCACTCTGCGAGCCTTGAATCCCTGGATAGATCAGTCAGATTTGTGTCCCTAGCAGCGGCTGAGATCGGCCTCCTCGTGCGAACCTCGTCGACGACCTCGCGAGTATCGATGAAGTTCTGTCACGTCGAGAGCGCGATTTCTAAAGGATCTCCAAAGATGCACTATGGTGCGATTCGAACATACGCTTAATAAGATATATGCTAATGTCGCTTATCTCTAACAAAAAATTGGGACGAGCCTAAGGCCTCAATCTGTTAGGCCGTATATGGATTATATAGTCAAAAGTTTACGTTTATTAGTGAAAATATCTATAATTTTTTTGTTGAGTTATGTTGTTCATCGAGAAGTTTATTCTTTTGCTCTTGTAGAATGAATCATGTCATCGTGAAATCATTGTTAGTTAGGACCTAAGCTACACGAATAACGAAATTTAAACTTGAACGCATCATGGTCGTCATATCCTTTGCTGAACTTGGAATAAATCAACCATGAGGAACAAACGAAATAACAATATTTTGTCTGTCCAGTTGGCGTAATGCGATGTATAAAAATGCTGTAAAGAGAAGGAAAAAATTCTGTTGACATATCCTAAAGTTGATCCGCTGAAATGTACAATGCTTTTGTTAAATATATGAACAATATATATGTATATATAAATGATAAATGTACAAGATGTTCTTGCTTTCTTCATTTTGGTATTTTTCAGTGATGCGTATACAAAGCTACATTGGAAATTTTCTGCAGCATGTCAAGTTGAACGTGTTCGGTAAAATCACTTTATTTTCGTATATACACAAATAAAGCACGAACTGACAATATATAAAATATGTATAGAGCATATAATCGCCACATTACATTAATTTTCTCTTAAGTTTGGAATAAACAAAAGATTGGGAGTTTTCGCCTCGTAGTAAAGCTTGCGAGACGCATCACTTCGATGCGTTTGCTTCTCCGTAACAAACATATACTCAACTAGAAGACAAAGTCATCTAGTTAATCGAAAAAACAAATACAATATACATTTATACTATTTGTTTTCGTTTCGATGCTGCGCGCTTCACGGACATATAGTACACTCTGCAATACGCGCGACTTATACACTATTATATAATTATACAAAACATGTTCATTATATATATGTATGTATATACAGAGGTGTATGTTGGGAATACAAATACTATAAATTTCGCAGAGAAAACTCGCGATACGCGATATTAAAGTTGCAGTCAATTTTTTTGCAAAAATTTAATTAGCAACCACTTACACCTTTTACTTACAATTTTTTATTATTTCAATTCCCTTAGTTACTGAAGCTTTAGCATTTATAAAATTCTATTGAACTGAGATCCACTCAGGATTAAATGTGGAGTAAGATTTCGTTATTTATTTCCACACACTTGAGACCTCTATTCACTTAAAAATCATTAGTATATCGTGCTAGGAAGAAATTAGCTTAAAATAAATCACGAAGTACGCTCGTAAAATTTATGTAAATATCTCAGATACACCGGCGCTCTGTATATAAATTTGCGAAATTAATTCTGTTCTACTTCTTTGATATTACACTAACTACTTGATCGCGCGCGGTATATAAATATCACAGTTTACAAAACTGGTGACACTGCGTTTTGCTCGTGTCCTCTTTTGCTAAATTATACGGTATTAATAATAATTAATACAATATTTATATAAAATATGCTTTGTCGGAATCGACTAATTTTATCGTTTTGAGATTGTTGATTCGACAATCCACTAATAAGCGCGTCACGATTTATGGAAGGACGTTCACGGAATTTCTTGGTCCTTGGGAGGGATATATATGACTGAGGATCCCTATCTCAATTTATAAATCTGCAAAAAGAGCATCGAAAAATTGGATGGATTTTCGGCAGTGATAAAGTTCATAAATTATCGCAAAATTATCTGTGAAATACTCTCAAAGAAATCTTGGTTTCTTTCGCATTTTCGAGGACCCGTCGCTCATCCGTTATATGATATAAAAAAGTTACGTCTTAAGTTAATTACTTTGTATGTAAATGCGGTCATGTAAAATGCAGTATACAAAAATATGCTCCTGCGCAACATGATGGCGGAATCTATTCCAGGATTGATGATATGGACTTAAGTCACACATTCTTTGTAAGAGAAAATTAAATGTCAATACAATTTTATCATCGATATAAAAAAATAAGTAAAAGATATACAGAAAAAATGTTTCCTCGTAATATCGTATATTTTAAAATGTTATAATTCATCGTCTCTCTCAGTCATTTCATATATCTTCGAAAACGTAGTTTCGTGACTTAGTTCGATATCATTCTTGGAGCTTCGTTTGTACTGCTATCGCGATCTCTCCATCGGAAGGCTCAACGACGAAATCGATTCCGTTAGCTATGATCCATCCGTGCCGCAGGCATTTCTTTGAAATTCCAACCGATGTATACGAACAGTTGGTTGGTCTTCCATCTCCTGTGTTTGCCGATCTGTCGACGTCCGCGCTTTAAGAATCCGGTTGACTTTCTGGTATTCGTATTTCGCACGAGAAATTCTCATATGAGGTACAAAATGCTCCCCGTCGTACATTATCAGCTGGAAGGGACATGTAATGTTATATAATCTGAAAGCACAAGACAAAAAAACATGAGAGCGATTGTTCTCTGACTTTTAAATGCTTGATTTAAACGCATTAAAAATTTAACTAATGTTTATTCGGACCATGTAAAATTTTGTAAAATTTTATAAATGTAATAATATATATAATTCTATTTATATATAATTATATATATAAACAAAGTTACACAAATGATACTCAGGGCTCGGTTTTAAATAATTAAAAAAATGTATTAAATTCTACATCTCATTAAATTATTTGTACTAATTGCGTATAGGTATAATTTTCATTTTATAATGATTACATATTTTATGATATCTTCTTAAATTATGAATTAATATCTATTTAATAGATACCTATCTAATAGATAGAATTAATGTCATCTATGTTAGAAATATCATAAAGTTTCTTTTTTAATTATATCACTTTTTAAAAATTAATAAATATATATGTACATGTAATAGTAATAAATAATTACCTCCATTTTTACACGTATATTATCCTCATCACTAAACTCGCTGCAATCATGGCAAATATCAACGTAATTTTTCCTATGGCGACAGTGGCGGAAGCCGAGACGATGCTCGACTTCCTGGGTAGGTTAGTCTCTATGTCGTTGGTCTCCACTTCCGGAGAACAACCCATCCAGACCGGGGCCGACAATTTTTGTTTCTCATGCGCAACCCTCATTCTGAGATCGTCAAACTCCCAAAAACCCTTGCCTTTGAAGAAGTATGTCTTGCCTGTAGAAAAGAAGAAAACATTACGATAGAGAATCGATAAATAATGTTACACGTAGAAAATTATTTAAAAAACATTAGAAAAATCAGGAATTTAAATAAAAATTGTGTAAAATATTAAGAAACTATACATAGTTGCTTATTATCTCTTTCTTGTAGAAATATATATTATTTCTGTTAAAAAGGACTAATAAGAGTCTGATAAATTTAACAAGTTGAAACATGTAATGTTAATTAAAGTAAAGTTTATTCTTTGTTTGTAGCATCTTTTTTTTTTTTGAGAAAGTGTTTCTACTTATCAAACTCTTATTAGTCCTTTTGTATTACATAATTGTTATTTTTAAATTGAGAGTATTGTACTTAACTATTATTTCAAAAATGTATTATATTTGGCGTTACAAGTAATTTAAATTTATTTATACATATATAAATATATATAATAAATTGTTTGAATAAAGTAAATATTTAAGTAACTGTATTTATAATAAAGTAATTTTTTTCGAGAATGTCAGTTTTTAAAATTTATATACCATTTTTCCATTGGAAAACGGCATCGATGTCATTGCCAACGCCGGCGAACATGCTCATATCTCTGGGATAATCAAGTTCCACATAATTAACAGATTCGTCGAACCTACGGGGCAGAAGATTAAATCGGAGAATTAAATTTTATTTATGTATGAAAAAGAGTATAGAAGTCCAACGTGAATCGGATTACAAGTGTACAAATTTCATTATATGTCCGAAGAGATATGAAACGCATTTCAATTCAGATTATTTTTCATTTAATATCAAACAAAAATTGTTCAATAATTGAGAGTCTCGAATTATAACAAACTCTAATCTGTAATAAGTGAGGGAGTACAAATTCGACTTGAAAAATTACGATTCAATCACCTCCAATACATGGAGCCACTGAAGAAGTAGGTCCTGCCGTTGTGACCCCACACCATGGCGCCGTCAATCTTCTTCAAGGAAGCTGGCAAGCCCAGATATGTAAGTGGTTTTGGATAACCCGGTTCCAGATTGTTGGCATTGAAGACATAGTACTCGCGACCAATGAAGAAAACTATTTTCTTATCCGGTCGCTCATACACGGCGTCCACATGATCGATGCCCGATGGCAGATTGAATAACCTCGTGATCTCCGCCGGATATCCTTCATAGATCCCGTGATCGCCTATTCGCCATAAATACTGCAATGCGAATTCAAGCAGAGAATTCTTTAGTATACAGATTCTAACACTATTAGTTAGGTATTATGTTCCTCACAAATTATAAAAAAATATGTCGCACACATAATTTAAAATATTTTAACTGTCAAATATATAAACATACATGTATCTAATAATTAGTTATTTTAAACGTAATATCTTGATTTTAAATATTGACAATATAAATATGCAAATTATTCTATTTTATACCTAGAAATAAAAAAAAGATAAAATGCTAGGCGCTCATTCTTTTGCTCTTAGAAAGTAGATATCGAGATACTTTTCCTTGCAATAAAGAGAAATAATGTAGCTTCTAAAGGGCTCATTATTATATCGTTCCGAGATACAACAAGAAGTTTCTCATAATTTTTTATTATCCTCTTTTTTTTAAATTTGGTTGCTTACTCGTCCTTTGAAGATGAAAACCTCTCTGCGGATGATACTGATAGCGTCGTAGCTCGTGTCGCATTTGTCGGGCACGTCGTCCCGCTGTGGTGGAGTCCATCGATGTCTAAACCTCGGTGTGGGCCTCATCGTTGTCGTTGTCGTCGTCGTCGTCGTCGTTGACCATGTCGTGTGATGTCGATGGGGTTTGTGCGGCCAATAGTCGGGTTTCTGTGGATAACGACCTGGTTGTCGAGGTCTGCCGTCATCCGGATAGTGATTGGGTCTGGTGGGCCTCGTCCTCCAAGGCCTATATGTCGTCGTCGACGTCGTCGTCGTAGTCGTTGGTGGGGTTGGTTGCTCTGGTGGTAGTGGACCACCTGGTATATTGCCCCACAGTTTGCCTTCAGGAGCACCTAAAAAATAATTATTGTTCGTTTATTTCGTCTCTCCTCTCTTTCGTTCATTAAATTTATAAGTCTGTCAAAATTAAAATTCGTAAGTGTGCGAGATTAATCTATTTGAAATAACTGATAATTAAAAACATAATTATAATTTAGTCTGCAGAATTTATTGAAATATTTTTTTTGTCAACGATAGCTCATCGGGACACGTAGAACAAAAATTGAAGAAGATTGTAAATTAGTAATTAATTTATTAAAAATTTTAAGTGTAGTACATTATTGTACTATATGGTATAAAAATACATATATTTAAAAATTGTGAAATATAAATGACGTTAAAATTTCGTTATTTATCATAACTTTACGTTCATATTTTATAATAAATAATAAAAATATTCTCAAGTATACATTCACTTATAAATATAATAGTATCGTGATATTTGATTGCAAAATCATAACGCAACATACCTACCTATATCTATAAGAATTAATATAACGCAATACAAAGCAAAAATTTGTTGCAAGCACAAAATTGATGCGAAGGAGGAATCTCCGTTTTTCCAAGAGAATTTTCCGAGTTGGTACGGTCTGTAAATGTGATACAATCGGCATTGCTTATCAACACGAATACATCTCTACGTATTCGAGCCCGATTCATTTGGAAAAGATGAGCACGCGCTAATGCAAAGGCATGCAAAAAGAGCTGATTCCGTTCTTTACATCCGCGCGCGATGAATTCATCCCGTCGTCTTTCAGGTCGGTCGATCTTTCTCTCATGAAAAGAAATTCCAGGTTGGTTGATATCAGATAATTGTAAAATGAAACATGTCTGCAAAAAGTGCAGTCGCTATAAAAACAGAAACTAAATTCATCGTCGAACATTGTACTAGCATAATTGCAGCAATATTATACGGGGAAATATTTTAATCAGCAGATCCATCGTCTTTTTCCGTTCATTACTCATACTATTGAAAAGAATATAAAAGTTTATCTAATAGTACACATAAAATCTTGAAATATAAAAAATGCTTCTCGCAAATTTTATTTTTTACAACGCACATATCTGGCAATTGTTGAAAGAAAGAAGCAGTACAAGATATCGTATATATGTATATGTTAAAACAATTGAGACAGAACAATTTACTTTAAGCATCAATTTCTCCTATTATGATTGTCCTAAAGTATCATTACTGCGATTTTAATTTAATTTGTTTATTTGCAATCGAAACTATTTGTCAACTTCAGGCGGGCGCATTTTTCCTTTGCCAATAAATGCCTACATGCTTTCGATGAGAATCGCGAGTCGATTAAATAAAATACATTTGCAATTCGTCGAAACGCTATTGACTCTCACTGATATATACAAGCATTATTTTATTTTGTACGATTGACAATAGAGAGGAAGAACGGAGCGGAGATGGCTATTAAAATGTCTCTTCGCGCACAGAGGTTGATTTAGTACCACAGAATTTTCGATTTACTCCAAGGAAAGTGAATTTCCCGATATCACGTACGAACGTATTATACTATATTGATATGGCAATCGTATCAATATTTGTATTATTTTTATAATTTTCTTTTCCGTTTTTTGTTAACAAAAAAGATAACTACATAAATTCCTTTAACTGTGATGAGCTTAAACGGAGATTCGGTATGTCATAATAAGTCACTGCATTCCAATCGATGTTTGATCTCACGATTGACATGTATTCGATTTAACGACAGGCAAACGCGATGAGAAAGCATATAATGTAATTAATTAGTATTTGAAGTCTGCATATTCAATCGTTAGATAAAAGTTATGCATTAATACAATGCACTTTAATTTCATTAATCAGAAATAGTTTTAAAAAAACGAAGAAAAAGAGTCGATTAATCTCCTATGGATAAGCTCAATGCCCTATATTCAAGGCTGAGCATGTATTCAAAATACTTCTATAATAAAAAACAGTATTTATAAATTGTATTTTATATTATGTATTTCAACAATGCAAATATTTTGTATTTTGAACATTATGGGAATATGTAAAAATATTTTATATTATATATATATTTCAGTATTATTAAACGAAAGATCGAAAGTATTTTATATTTTATATTTCAAATATTATTAAGATTGACAGTCAGTGTTATTATTTGAATTACAAAGTACAATTTTTCGATTTTAAATATGTAATACTTTCAGGTGCTATGCGAAATACAAAACACAAAATGTATTTTTATTGCAAAATCTATGTTTTACTATAAATAAAAATATTTCAAATACATGCCCAGCCCATGCATATATCTATATATTTGTGTCAAGTACATATATTTATAAAAGAAAATGAAAGAAACGAGACATTTATATGTAGATATGTAAATCATGTTCGCGTTGCATTCGAGGAAAAAACATTTTGCCAAAGGTAATACTTCGTAATACCAAATTGCCATCGTAGAGCAATAAACTTCTTGATGACAAATGCGTACAGTTAAAATTCGGTTTTATCGTGATCACGTAACGCGTTTTATATTTCTACGTCCTTTCCTTTCTCGATATGTTGTATCAACGCGCTCGTTAATTCCGCTCGGCCATGACCACACAGCCAACACCAGATTGACAGAATTGGCGAAATTACGAGTGGGTTCACGAGCCAGATCTTCCATGTAACGTAGATGCAAGCGCACAGCAACGGTTTCACTCGATTTTCCCTCGTGTACAGCATTACATACGTACAACACCAACGCGTACAAAATTTACGTTATCGATCGTTCATGTGAATTGGCATTAAATGTAACTCGTATCGGAGGACGCTGATCGAATAGATGAAGCAATAAACGCGGTTTACGCCATAAATACGCGAGTTAAATATAAGTGAGATAAGTGAAACGGCAAATGACAAAAAAATTAAAAATCACTTTGGGCGATCTACAATTTGCGCGACAAAATTGAATTTTAAATGCGAGTTTATAAAGATGTAATTTTAAATACACAAAAAAAGTTTATATATGTAAAAAGAATGTGTTAAGAGAAAATAATGTAGGTATGTAAAATTACAAAATTCTATCTCATGTAAGTCGTTCTTAAGTAGTTCTTTTACATATTGATAAAGATTTAATATTTTTTATGTATCCTGCAGTGTAAAATAGTAATTTATATTAAAGACGAACTATATCTATATGAAATATTATTATATATCTAAAAGTATCATCGTATAAAGAGACTTTATCGGGCAATCTTTATACCACATTTATCATTTATTAAAGAATTTAATAAAATCATAATACATGCAACGAAATCAGTAATAACAAAATAATAAAAAGACATATAATAATTTTGAAGCGTTTCTCAAATATTCAAGAATATAAAAAAAAAATTTTTTTTAATACAAAAATATAGGAGACATTTTCAAATTCTTACACGTTTTTTATGTAAATTTTTTAAAAATATATTTGTTGGGAAAAATGTGCACGTGTATTTAAAAAAAAAATGCAGAGTTTGAAAGGATCAAATTTCAACCCTTTTTGTGAGCAACTATGTACTATTAGCATAGAAATTTATGCGGTAAATCGGCCGGAGCTTATCGAACAGTATGACAATGCGATAGCTCGCACGATGTAGGTGCACGATTCTGCAGTCAAATGATAATTAATATTCGCCAGTGACCTACCAATTAGCGTAATCTAGACTGCGGAAGAGAGACGAGAGAGATAAAGAGAGACATATAGAATGAGGAAACCACCAGTTCCTGAACACCGAATCTAATCTTGACTCCCGGCCGTCGATGCAATTACAATGACGCGCTCGATAATTGCCGCTACCTTCGTACTTTCCAATATTCTAACTCTCTCTCTCTCTCTCTATCGAGTTCTCCTTTATCAGCCGCAAGCAATCTTTTCGTCACGCCGAGTAATTTCCGATTATAATAAAGAAGTTAGCCACCTTCCTCTCTCTCTCCGTCGTCGCCGTTTACCTTCAACTTTATTACGTTAATTTGAGTAAAGATAAAGTTATTTTCGCGAAACTGGGAAAACGATCTTCGACCCGTAGATATTAAGTTTTTAAATTTTTAAGCATTTTCGGATATGACTTGATATATTCACAATTTTAAATTCAATTTTACGCAAAACGAAATTCTTGTTTAATAATTTAATTTAAGCAAAGATATGGAGATGACGTACGTGTTACTTGCAATTTTTAATTTAGTTTTCATTTCATGAACACGGCACCTGATATTTATAATTTTATTCTCGCAAGGGAAGGAAGAGAGAGAGAATCGCAGATTTTATTTTCATAGTACGAAGCACCTTATTCTCTAAAAGCCGCATTCAAGCGAATCTGAACGATCGTGTGTTAATGCAGCAAGTGAGAAGTTATGATTCTTCGAAATCAAACATGACCTAAATGCGTCGACGAATCTAACTTGGTGCCAGTTAGAAAATAAACGCGAATGGGAAATACAATAACGATAATGATTATGTTGCGAACGTACAATATAAACGAATATGATACAGCTATGTGTCGTTTAAAAATGTATCTTTATCAAATCTTGTGACTTTTCTTTCAGGTTTATACTTGGAAGGAATGTTTTCGACCGACTTGAAAGTGTAACGCTGAAATTTATTATCACGAGTGCGCACGGAGTATATTGCGCGTGTAATAAAAATAAAGGGAAACAACATCTTTCTTTATGGCATCATAAGCTCGCTACGAGCTAGCTAATGTAAAAAAACTCCGACGGAACAAGAAGTACTTCTATTTAATGCGGCTCAAAACGCTTTCGGACAAATGTTTTCCGTTTTTTTTTTCTCGGGCTGAATGAATTATTACTGAACTTATAATTACTATTGTCAATATTGCGCATTCATTATTCTAAATTACAGTTGAACTTGTATACTGCATCATCCGCAATTTTTAAGTATTTTAATGATATCTGGGAGAGACAGAGAGACGGAGGGAGGGGGATAAATTTGAGATTAGAGCTGATATTTATATAGTCGGTTTTTACATTTGAGACCGTCTTAAGTACAGT